GTGGGTGGGTGTGTGTTGCGTGCGTGAATATTGTTCGTACATGCATTTATGGAAAGCGCCTGGAGCTGTGTTTACAGGGGAGTGGGCGTTATAGAAATGATCTTCATTATTGTTATTAACATCCCAGCAGAATGACTTCGGTTCCTTATCTATACAAATTTGGGGCTAAGCTCAGAGCCGCTCAACCATAGACTCAGGTACCCTTTCCTCTTGCAACAAATGAGGCGTGCTAACAAAATGAGTTACTTCTTGGAATCCATGAATGGAGATATCAGCGAAAAATCGACACAAGGGTCATTATTTGTAGACTCTAAATCCATGCTATTCTCTTCAAGTTTAACATGTCTTTTATCATTTCATACTGATAAATTGTAAAACTTCAACTTATAAATTTGATGTTTCTATTTCCATCGGTCTAAAATCTGAGAAGTAACTAATTTTGTCAGCACTCTTCACAAATCTCCAGTGTGCCTTCCAAATTAGGACAAAAGCTGCTGTGGTCTAAAATTATGTGATCCACAACCGAAGTTACAATTGGTGAGAAGTTTAAAAAAGTAAATAGAACACTTGACATAATTTTTTAAGCAGTTTTTGAAGACAACTGGAAAAAAATTACATATTTTTTAACAAAATGATTTAGTAAGCGTCTAACTGCAGTTGCTACACAATTAGGTCATATAGGTGCCGAAGATTAGAGGCGTTACTAAAGAGTAACGCACACAACAAATGGAGGAGAGATAAGAACGATAGATTGTGTTTTAAGGGAAGGATGGAGCTAACCACACCAGAGCACCCACTAACCATTCACATTCCCACAATAGTGTTAAATTTGTCGAATTTGTCGACACCAACGTTATACTTTTGCTCATTATCATTGTGCGCGGAATGTGTTCTACACCAGCCCATTGGAAGGAGTTAAAAGAAGCCATATTAATTATGTTACAGCTGTGGTTAAATTCTTCTTTCAACTTCTACCAATCTCTTCGATGTTTCTTTAAGTCCCCCCCCACACACACACACATGCACACACGCACACACGTACACATAAAAATACACATACAATAACTCACATACACACACACACACACACACGCACACACACACACACACACAAACACACACACACACA